AAATGGTTTGAGATGGGAAGTCCGAGTAGATAGCTCAATGATAGCTCAAATGGTAGAGCAGCGGCGCATTTAGCCGAAGGTCGTGGGTTCGAATCCCGCTCGTGACACTGCTTTTTTTATCTCAACCAATACCTTACTTAAAAATTAATTCTAAAAAAAGAATTGATTTGGTCAAGCGAACCACGAAACCGAATCGATTTAATAAATGTTAATGTTAATTGTTAATGTTATGTATATTAGCAAATACAACACAAGACATAATTCATTGGGTAACTCACATTTTTACGATGTAAAGACTGCTTAATATTGTAATTTTTCACTATTACTATTATTTTTTTTATATATAAAAAGAGGATGATTATTCAAAATTCACTAATTTCGTGGTCCGCTTGACCAATTAATACATTACAATTAATTAAGGTTTTTAGTTGAGATAAAAAAGTCAATGGCACGAGCGGGATTCGAACCCATGGGCGCAAGTGGACATGGACGTAGGACTTTACATTGAAACAACATTCTAACATGAAGTTCTTTAGACAAATAAAATTAATTCGAGTAATTAAGGTTTTTAGTTGACATAAAAATGTCAATGGCATGAGCGGGATTCGAACCCACGATCTTCGGCTAGATACGCCGTTGCTCTACCACTTGAGCTATCGTGACCTTGATCCACTCTGACACTAACTTCCCACCTCAACCCCACCTTTCGAATTTTCCCTCCTTTTTGCCATTTTTGCTCAATTCGTGGGTTCGAATCCCGCTCGTGCCATTGACTTTTTTATCTCAACTAAAAACCTTAATTAATTATAATTATTCAAAATTTCAAAAACTACAAAGAAGGCAAAAAAATTATAATTTAAAAGTGTCTATATTGCAGTTATGGTATTTTTAAGCCACGATTTAATTTGGCTGGGTTTTTTTCAGGCTAAACATTTATTCTGTTTTTTGTTTGTTTTTCATTATTGTTTTGTAAAGATATATTTTGTTTCTCCTCTGACGATCTCTAAAAAAAACTCCTTCTACCTAGTGCATTTTTGGCAGCAGCCAGGGAAGCACAAAAATATTATTTTTTGTTGTAAATTTATATGTAATTTACATTCTTGCCAATAAATATTTATTATTATTATAAAGTTTCTGTATGTAGATAAAAAATATAATTCTAGAAAACTCTATTACCACTTGTTCTGATACTTTCTGCATTCTTTCTTTGCTATTATTGAGTTTATTGAATCATGTTTTTTAATACCCAAAAGTAATTATCAACTTCGGTAAACCCACTATTTTTCTTATTACTTATGTCGATTCATATAAAACCGACTGAAAATAAACAGAATATAATAAGATAGGAAAAGGCCCTGAAATAAAAGAGAGTGATAATAAATGAAATCGACAAAACAGCGATGTTCCCCGAGCGAGAAGAAGAAAAAAAAGAAAGATAAACATGTAGTTTGCAAATAAGTATTTATCATTCCGGTAATACCGATAGAAACAAGACGTATTCAAAGGTGTTTGGGGGTCCGGAAAAGTTTACAAACCCCATTCTTGGGTAGTTTCGGAGAAACCACTGTTTATGTCTCAGCACTTCCCTCACGAGGTTGAATAATTCAGATGTTCATCTCCAAGAAAAGTCAGATACTTGGCTCTCCTAACAATTTCCATACTTCACTGTACATTTTTTTTTAGACGGGTGAATCACACCGCCTTTTGAAACAAAAAGAAGATTCTTTCCTTCGCGCTTAACGTCATGAATAACAACTTGCAATAGAATCAAAAAGTGTATTTTTTGACTTCAATATTTGATAAAGTAGGAAAAATGTCAAACATTATAAACAAGATTAAAACATGTTTAACAAATTATTTATCAATTTAAAAAAAAATCAAAATATTCACGTACTGTAATACATGGTAAATTAAAATATTCTATGCTTCTGTTTTATCGCTTGCCAGACTTATTTACTTGAAGAAAAAGACCCATAACTGATAAAATCGTGTCAATTTTATCTTAATTCTTTTATTTTATTTGTCTGGTTGTTAGGCCAAAAAAAAAAAAAAAAAAAAAAAAATTAACTGAAAAAAAAAAAAAAAAAAAAACCATAACGCGTTCGTTTACTTGCCTACTACTACATAATAGTTGTGTATTATTGTTTTCCACTTTTAGTTCCCACTCGCGGAGGATTTTATAAAATGTTGTACGAAGCCTATTAACCACCAACCTGGAGAACTTTAGCATTAAGGTCATCATCATCCCTCTCGCAACAATTATTAGTAATGCCCCATCTGTCCTTTACGATAATTTTCAATTTGCGAATAATAGGGTTAAGATAGTGAGAAAAACGTTTTTTTTTTCAAACGGATGTTTCCAGGCGATATTTCCTCTTCTTCAAGTTGGGAAACGTAAGTTAAAAATTGCAAAATGTCTCATGTCAAACAACAAATAATTATTTAATATTAATAAATTCAAGCGCTGGAGAAAGTATGTGAAATTTTCCCAGCAGTCGAAAAATCTTCCTCAAATCGACATTTTGGGTGCTGAAGTATCGCAATGTAATGCACTATGAACTTTCAACAGAAATTTTTTACGCGATGAGGTACATGGTAGAATTCATCACTATTTTACTAGGAAAATTTGAAAATTTAAGCAATTCTTAAGAGTATTAGAAGAAAATGAGACTTAAGAGATTCAGCGCTTAGCTCACTGGTCGATTCGAGTGCTTGAGAATGTATGTGAAATTTTCTCAAAAGTCAATAAACTTGCCAACAATGAAAAAAATGTGTTCTTCTAATCTCCTTGTAAGGAAGTGAAGTATTACAATGTAGTGCAATGTGAACCTGTTTTAACTCGATGATTTTAACACGTACATGATTAAATTCAGCATTATTTTACTAGTAAAATTTGAAAATTTAATTAATTTTTGAAAGAATTAGAAGAAAATGAGAAGAACCCAATGCAAAGCGAATTGGTCGATTCGAGTGCTTGAAAAAGTATGTGAAATTTTCTCAGAAGTCAATAAACTTGCCAACAATAAAAAAAAAATGTTTTCTTCTAATCTTCATCCCGGGTGGTGAAATATTGCAATGTAATGCACTATGAACTTCCGCCAAACCATTTTTTAACGCGATGGAGTACATGGTAAAATTCACCACTATTTTACTATGAAAATTGAATCCAATGCTTGAGAAAGTTTGTGAAAATTTCTCAGAAGTCAATAAACTTGCCAACAATGGAAAAAAAATGTGTATTTGTAATCTCCATCTAGGGAGGTGAAGTAGTGCAACGTAATGCAATTTGAACATCCGCCAGAATTTTTTAACGCGATGGAGAACATGGTTAAATGAAGCACTGTTTTACTAGGAAAATCTGAAAACTATGAAATTTATTAATGAACTACAAGAAAATGAGACTCAGTGCTTAGCTTACTGGTCGATTCGAGTACTTGAGAAGAGTATGAAATTTTTCCAGCTGCTGCTTGATCATGTAACTAATTATTGACAATATTTCCTAGATCTCATCCTATTCTGGAAAGAAGATTTTGGTTCTCTGACATATTAGACAAAAAATAACTCACTTTCCAAGCCTCTTCTCTCACAAATAACTGATCTCTGATAGCGCATGTATTCCAGCATGGATTCTTTTTTGCGTATTTGACCTGTCAATAAAACTGGAAGCTCTGTGTCGTCGTAAGGTTGGGTAGAGAGATTGGATGTGAAACTTTTGTAATTGAGAACGGATCAATTCGTTGACAAAATCGGCTGAGGTCGTAGTGGATAGTGAGGTTAGTGGAGTAGTAAGGAGTTCTCACGATTCTCTGAGGACTTTTGATACATTGGATGTTGTATGGCTTGGCAGAACCCCACAGTCCCTCTTCATATGTCGAAAGTAGACGCAGTCAGGACTAGAAGATTAGTTTAGTGATGACCATCAAAACGGATTTAGGTCCTAGAATTCTTCGTAGCTGTCAAAGTCTTCTGTTAAGTTGTTGTCTCTTAAGTGTTGTGTGGGGATACCATGTCAGTCTGCTGTCTAGGTACAGTCCTAAGTATTTGACCACAATGACTTCAGCGAACACTGAGTACATTTTGTTCATTCAATCTTGTCCTCTACTTTTTGTTATGACGCTCTTGCTTCTTGACAAACGTTCTGATTTACCACTCAAAAATAAAGGGCTACTTTACAAAACCATAGGCCGATGTGGACTTTCGGACTTCAGCCAAACGTTCCATCATCCGCCCAATCCTTATTCTCACGAAAACGTATAGTATGGTATAAAAAGGATACTAGGAATGGGGTTTGTACTCACCAACCTTCTGGCTTATTGTACCTTCCTAATTCCTTAGTTCAGTGCAATAGACTCAATCCATGTTCTTAGAAGTATCAGGTCATTGACTGTCCCTGCTGTAATTCGATTCCCTAAGTTTTTTCCATCGAGCTGTTGCTTCGCATTCGAATCTGCAAATGGGATCATCGTTGTATATGCCCATGTTGTGTAAACATTTTCTCAGATGCCAGTGACTGGTTATTAGTCCTACCACCCCTCTGAGTACCACCCCTTTCCCATTGCAGCAATGATTTTGCCAGTCTTGGCGAGGGTTGTTTAAAAGTATACTGATTACATCCACTTAAATATTCCTTTCGTTCAAGATAAAATCCGTTCCCGTTTCCGCAAATTTCCAAAAACCTTCCTAACCACAACATATCAGAACAACTAAAAAAACAGCATCCCAACGAATTCCTAGAAACCTCCTCGCAGACTGAAGTGACGATGGACTCGAGATCTCCTAGGAAGCGAGGATGATGATAGTGAAAGTGATAAACACAAATACTAATTAAACATTTTAACATAATTAGAGTACTACCAATGGTATATTTTCCATTTTGTTTTTACTTTTATATATTTTTCCTATCTCGTTGATAAATGTCAAATAAAAAAAAAGAAGATATTTTATAATGATTTGGCAAAAGAACGATTGCAACGTTTTTCACTCTTTCTTGATTTTGCATCTTACCTGTCGTAATAGTAGTCCCTGAAACAAGAACAAACATGTTAGTTTTTGCATAAAATGTAAACCAAATTTAGTATAAATGACAAAATTTTCAAAAAACCGACTGAACCTCTCTAGATCAAGGTTATCTATCGACATGGTTAACCACTATGGCTAATCGGCCTAAAATATGATCTTAACATCTACCATAAGTTATTACATGCAGAGAAAGATAGCTCAATGTTTCTTATAAAATTAAAGGGTGTTATGTTAGCCCGTATAAGGATTGTAAATCTTCGGTCTATTTCGCTTTACGGAGGAAACTGGAGTAATTCTGTATATAGATATTTTGTTTACTGCGAGTAATCCTATTGTTACATATATATGAAATTTGGTGATGGATGTTTTTCGTTTCGTGTGAATGTATTTATATGTGTGAATGTAGAAAGGAGTGTCGATGTAGTTATAGTAGATAAAGTTGCTTATATGCGTGGTAAACAGTGATGGGAGAATATTTAGTACTCGCCATACTTGAATGAAAAGTATGTAAATAAGCTTTGTTTAGGTAAAACTGTTGACGGCTGGAATGACCTTGTTGACGATAGCCTTTTGAGTCTACCTTTGAAGATTATACGGCTAAGAGCGAGATGACTCCAGGCCAACAAAACACCTTGGTTTGCAGCGAGATGTCATAGGCTCAGTTCTGCACAATTACACGAGTTCATATATGAGCAGAATTGAGCCTATACAAATCAAAAATACGTTATTTATACCCATTACAGTTCGTGGTCCGATTGACCAATTAACATTTTTCAATTAAGTAATATTTATGAAAGGTTCAATTAATTAAGGTTTTTAAGTTGAGATAAAAAAGTCAGTGTCACGAGCGGGATTCGAACCCACGACCTTCGGCTTGATGCGCCGTTACTCAACCACGTTATACAACACTTCACGTGGTCACGATAGCTCTAGTGGTTGAGTAACGGCGTATCAAGCCGAAGGTCGTGGGTTCGAATCCCGCTCGTGACACTGACTTTTTTATCTCAACTTAAAAACCTTAATTACTTGAATGTTATTAATTGGCCAAGCGGACCACGAAATAGTGAATTTATGAAAGGTATTGGTTGAGATAAAAAGGTAGAGGTATCAGCGGGTTCACTTTGGCAATTCATGTCGAGAGACGTGGCTGTAGAAGTCCTTCAACCTGATGATGAGCTAAAAGGCTCGAAATCCGGATCGTTGCAAAACAACATACTGTGAGTAGGAACTATCTTTTTAAAAAGGTATGTACGTTCATGTGCGGATTTGAGCCTATCCAAATCCAAATCCAAATACATAGCGAAAAGTATTCGTAAATTATTGTAGATTGGCCGAAACTAAAAATTTTCAGTTGATGTACTTTAAGCTTTAATGAAAATTCTACATTTCAGGCTGATGTGGCACCGCACGAGGCCGAAAAAAGTTATTCGTTTGCTGTAAAAGACGATGATTCAGAATTCGATTGAACAAGTTAAATAGGATAAGTTATTAATTTAAAATATAGGTATACTTAACCACATGTTCAATAAAGACCTATATTTTGAAATTAAAATTTTCTCAACCAAAAAAAGGTTTGGTTGTAAAAATAAGACGTTTTAAAAAGAAAACGTTTATTATCTAGTTCTAAAAGTACGATTATTGACTAAAGAACATCAAAAATTTAAAAAAAAATTCGTTTCATAACGAGTATTTCTTTTTGCATGCCTTAGAAAAGATTTCTGATAAAATCCTGAGGAATTCTTTCCCATTCATCAAGAACAGCTCCAACTCTTCTTCGGTGAAAGACCTTGGTTTCCCCGTCGTACTCGTCGCTAAATTTGGACCCAATCTGGACTTCGAGCTGCCACACCGAGCACTCAATTCTATCCTGATTCAGGTTGATCACCCACAATACATGCTCAATGTGGCCTGGCATTATACTGCATTTGTAAGAATCTCCCACCGATATGGGGGCATATGGCTCTACATGTTCTTCCATTATGTCCACCAGACCTCTATGAAGTTACAGTGCTTCTCCGCACAACAACAATTCATTGCGGGCATCCAAGGAAACGCTACCTCATAACATCAAAACATCAATCCATCCACCGTGGAATACCACTTGAGAAACCATACAGCATGGTCCTCCTTTCTCCTGAGAGTCTCCATATGAAATTACAACCGGGCTGAAGATTTGTGCCCAACTCTCACATTATCAGTAAACAGAACTCGTCCTCAATCTCCCAATGTCCTCCACGTTCTCCATGTTCTTATGCGAATTGAGGACTAGCCATTTTCTGAGGTATGATAAGAATAGGTCCACAAGCCGGGTGCCAGGGCGAGTTTATTTTCGTTGGGCTTTTTCTTCCACTCCTGTAGGAAATCGAAACATTTCGGATTTGTTTTATCAGTTTTCTTATCTCATTTCTCATAATGCAGGGCACTACTGCGGTTTCGTAGAGCCTGATGGTTATCGTATATATCGTCTTTCTCGCCTTTCTAGTTTGACCCTGTTATCGACTTCTAGTGAGAGCCCAGTTTCTCTGAACCGTCGAAGAATCCTTCCTATTGTAGGGAGATTTACATTTAGCCTCCGGGCGACTTCGCCCTACTGTATCCAATGATCCTGGCACTGTCGTACTCACTCAAATACCTAACTGGAGCTATTGAAAAAGGTTTAAGAATAAGAAGAATATCAAATGAAATCAACGAAGGAATAACAAAATGCGATCTTCAGACGTAGCAGAATGGAAGGGCATAATGCTACTTTTTGTGGAAATCGATTAATCAGAGCAAAAGTAAATAAGGGAAATAAACAAAGCATAATTTGTTTGTCTACTATGATAGCTCCTATAAATTCACATATATATATATATATATATATATATATATANAAAATTTAGTTTCGGCGGACTAAATATCAAAATAAAAAGCAAATTACATGACTTTTCGCTGGAAAAGAGACTTTAGGGACCGACGAAGGCCAGCCGTTTTACCACCCTCGTCCTGTTTTATGTAGGGCGAGTCAAATGTTCGCCAAGAAGCCGTTTCAAAGGTTTCTTGAAAATCTTCCGGCCATTTTCCTTACTCGGCTGGCGCAGTAAACTGCAGGACTTGTGACTCTCCAAAAAGAGGGGTGGGGGAGGGGAAGAAATGAAAGTATCCCAGATTTCCCAAGGTGACCGCTACCGTCCCGTTCCATCTCCAATTTCCCGAGCCCTCTTGGTTATTTGATTTCAATTAGCAGAGCGGATCCCTCATCCGGAATGTATTTGGCCCCTTCTTCACTTTCATATTACAAACGCGATACTTACAATGAGATCTAAATTATCCAAAGTAAAGCATAAAGAATAATTATTACTTGTGTATTTAAACCAAATCGTTTTGGACTACATTAAAAACACATTATCTTGTAGACATGGTTATGTAGACTTACTGACCCAAATGAAGGAAGCAATTTTTTCTACCATTCAGTACATTTTAGGTATACCCCATTTTTATTTACTTGTGAAATCTGCAAGGTTTGCTTTGGAGCAACATGTATTTTTTCTGTTGTCTACTCTTATTTAATTATTTATATTTTATTTGTTAGTTTTAGTGGCAGATAATTTCAATCATGGCCTGCTCTCTCTATCTAGGCTACTATTTTTGTGTGTCTTCTCTAGTATTAATCCTACTAGATTCTTCTCCCTTTTCTTTACCTTCTCCTTGTCTATCATCCTATTTTGCATATTGTATATGCAATAACAAATACTAATAAATATAAAGCAAAAACAGGATAAAACATGATAGGTTGATAAGCATTCAGACTGCCAGATAGAATTCGATGTTGCCCGGAGAAATTGGGAATAACCACCTCCATTCGCGCTAATAAATTACATTCCCACACTACCACATTTAAGTACCTAAGAATATTTGATATTCCTCAAAGTAATTGGGACACATTTAGGTAATAAAGTACATTCTTACACTAGGCTTTCTACCCCAGAGTATTCGATATTATTGGGATAATTGGGAATATCCACCTCCATTCGCGCTAATAAATTACATTCCCACACTATACCACATTTACAGTACCCAAGAGTATTTGATATTCCTCAAGGTAATTGGGACACATGCATGTAATAAAGAACATTCTTACATTAGATTTTCTTCCCCAGAGCATTCGATATTCCTTGGGATAGTTGGGAATACCCGCCTTCATTCGCGCTAATAAATTACAATCGTACATTAGACTTTCTGCCTCAGAGTATTCGATATGAATGAATGAATGAATGAATAAAGGCTTCATTTACACAAATTATTTTCATTAACTTTACATTTCCAAAGAAAAAGCTAACTTGACAATGGCCTTAGCCGTCTGTCGAGTTGCTTTATCAATTTTGAATCTTGAATGAATCCCTATTTTTGTATCTTTAGAATGACCTTTGATTTTAAAAATTGAATTTGTCAACCAGTTATTTTCGGTACCGCAGGGCGTGAGTGAGGTACACCACAAGCTTCCTCCAATTATCCCTTCCGTTGAGGATTGCAATGACTTCTTCTACATCCAACTTCAGTTTTCCAAAGTACCTTTGGCGGAATTCTCTCAGAACAGGGCACACTCCCATGAAGTGGAGAGTGACCTCCGGACGTTGAAAGCATGCTTTATTCTATTGTTATTCTTTTTGATCTAGATTATTAACTATTTTCAAGAACAACAGTTTTACTACATCTGTCTAAAAACAAGGTACACAAATTACAGTTTTTTTTTGGATCTTGAGTAAATTTTCTTAGGTTTCTGCAGAAGTTTGCCCACGTGAAGTATACTATATTCATATTAACACTTCGGTGCGTAATAGCCAAGAGGAACTGATTGTAACCAATAACTGAATGGGACACCCAAGACAATGCTACTGGTTAGCATTATTACCTAGAAATCAGTATCAAAAACTCTAGCTCAGTTCTGAATGATTTTCAAGATAAACTATCAACAGGTGATCATATAATTTGTGTGAGAAGTTGAAAAACATCACGGCTTTTAC